GGGGGGGGGGGGGGGGACGTTTGAGGAGAGAGTGGATGTCAAAATTGCCACTTTGATGGTGCAACAGGAAAAGAAAACGAGAGTATGCACAAATCTAATAACTCATCATCATTCACTGATCAGTAAAGTCGTCAATTTCAACAAAAATCTTGCAACTGAAATTAACGTGCCTCTGAATTAATTGGTTACATCAACAAGTAATGTAGTCTAAATTTACTATTACATAGCTTTGAAAGAAGAAAAAAGGGAATGATAATACAAGGGTCAAAATACAAATGACCAAGATCCCAAACAAACATATACACCAAGAATCTACTCATCTAATATAGTTACAGCTTGAAGTTCGGTTGACGAGGTCATATCACAAGAGGAGATGAAGTTTTTAATTTAGGTACCTTAAATGAGGATGTGAATAGTTTTGGAGCACCTGAGATACTATCACCAGCTTTTCGTTTTGAACTTCTCTGTCCCAACAAAAACTATCTATCAGCTTACTGAAGACATATTTCTCCGATATACTAGCATGCTCTTGAGATGATATAAAACAACAGTAATCTGTATTTATACATTTGAATTCAAATCTAGGTTAACATATGCACATGCATTTGTCAAAATATCATGGATGTCATCTATCGACGGAGACACTAGCCCCACAATTAAGAAAAGACAGAGCACACAGCAATGTCCGAGTTACTATGGCCGTGCTAGCATGTTATCCACACAATAGAGGAATCGTCTTTTATAATACAAGTCATAACTGGTAGGTTGATCCTTGAATCAGAAGAGCGGTTTACGGCAGGCACAGAGAACATGCTAGCACAAGGACCATATCAAGTCATTTTTATCAAGGTAAATTCTGCAAAAAATCAAGTTAAGAAAAGATGTCCAGGATGTCAAAAGGAATGCTAATACGTTCAATGACATCTCAGTTATTTCTTTTCCTTTTTCCTTTACAAAGTGAGAAGATCTCCTTTTACCAGATTAGATCCACAGAACAACAAACATCTATATGCATTACAAGAATAACCTATTCTACAATATCAGAAAAAGGGAGCAGTTTCTTGAATCCAAGAGAATGACAAACTTCATACGCAGGATACGCCTCAAAGAAGAACAGCATTAACATCGACAAATTATGTAACACAGGACTTCTGCAAAATAGTTTCTTCTAAAATTAAGACGAGATTACCTTTTCAAGAGCTTGTGAAGATTGTGGTTCTTCCTTGAAAGTTACAGTCTTCCGATCCGTTCTGTGCTTCGGAGGTTCTGATGCGGATGTGAATTGACGCAACAAAGGAGTGACGGAGGCACTTCCGGACTTCTTTAGCAACTCTAGTTCTCTGGAAAGTTTGAATAGCTCTTCACTCTTTTTGACGAGGCCAGATTCCAGTTTGGCAATTTCAGTTTTTAACGTAGCAATTGTTTTATCCTTATCAGTGTTGGATGATTGTAGTTCCTCAATGTTACTCATAAAAGCACGTATTTTCTCATTTCCAAGCTCAATTTCAGTACGTTTGCTCCTCAATTGCTCATTCATGTCATGCTCCAGTTTGTTATATTGGTTCCAAATGAAATTCTTCTCTGCCAAGAGAGCAGAAATCTCAGAATTTTTCTCTGAAGTGAGCCTCTCATTTTCAGTTCTCAGCCTTCTCACCTCATCTTCCCATGCCTTGTTTCTTGTCTCTGCTTTTTCATTAGTAGCAGTCCTTGGTACATCCTATGAATCAAATTGAATGTTCATATGACTTATCTTCTAGTTTTGTCAATGAGCAGCGGTGGCAAATGATAACTACAAACTTACAATGAAATCAGAAACAAAATTCATGCAAGAAAAAGCAATCGAAACAACATACATTTGGCTCTGAGCATTTATGAGACCGGTAGTCAAGCAATTCTCTGAAGTCCGCCAGTAGACTATCTGCATCTTCTGCATTTTTTAGGTGAAAATTGAGTTAGCCCCAAATTGAATGCTGGGATGGCTAACACTTAAAATATCATGTTTACTCTGTAACAGTGAAGGCTACATACCTGGGGGCGGGAGCAAGTTTTTTCAAGAATAAAACCATCTAAAACAGCCAATATTCCCAAAAATTTAGTAATCCCGGGGTGGGGGTGGGGTAAGGTATGTGTACACACTACCCCCAGAACCCACTTGTGGGAACTCACTGGGTTTTTTGTTGTTGTTGTTGGATTTGGTTTCATTGAGCTTGTAAAAAACCATTAAACAGAAGTCTTCTTAAGGGTCATTGGAAATTAAATCAGAACTGAACTGAGAGCCATATACATAAAGAAGTGTGTGTATGTATCAGATATGTGGTTGCATGATTATTATTTTTCGCAAAAAGAAAGTTTAATAGCCTGTTTGGCCAAGTTTCTCCAAAGGTCAAAAGTGCTTTTTCCCAAAAATACTTTTTTTTCTCAACTTAAGGTGTTTGGCTAAGCTTTTTTGGAGGAAAAAAGTGCTTTTGGGAAGAAGCACGGCTGAGGAGCAGAAAAAAGTAGCCTCTTCCCAAAAGCAGAAACAGTTTTGACTTTTCTTTTTAACAAAATATAGTATATACCAAAATAACCTTACTTATTTTAAACCTAATACTTAGGATATTAATGTATAAGTATTTCTTCTTATTTTTAGGATAGCTTTCTAATATGTAGTGACTTTAGGGGCGGATGCTTTTATATTTGTTGAATGATTTTTAATATATTTAAATTGTCTTAAAAGAATTAAAGTACTTTTTAATTTTATTTCATGTTTACTTAAATAAAATGAAAAAAAATTGATTATTTTCTTTAATAACAAATATTTGAGATTGTTTATTTACTTATAATATTAACTAATAAGTAATCCATTCATGTCCTTATTCGTGATTTGATACTTAAAAGCACTTCTTGAAAAGCTTGGCCAAACACAAATTATTGGCCAAAAGTGTTTTTTAGAGTGATTAGCCAAACACACTATAAGGGGTCGTTTGGTTGAAAAGAAGTTATCCCGAGATTAGTTATTCCACCTTTCCATGGGGATAAAAAAACACTACAATCCCGGGATAACTAATCTCGGGATTAATTATACCACAATTTTCTCCAAACCAAACATGGGATAAACTCTTCTTAAATTTAATCCCGGAACTAATTATTCCTTATCCCTCATACCAAACGAGCCCTAAGTGTGCCATGAGGTGAAATGCAAAGAGAAATTTTTAGAACAAGAATTGAAATGTGTTACAAGTGAGGTGACTTGTTGCAGATAGCACATCAGACTAAAATAGCAGAAACAAGTAGTTTTATACTCTTATTTCAGTTTGGAAATCATCGAGATTGGAGTCAGTCAGAGAAAGTGAGTCAGGTAGAAGCAACAAAAGAAGTAACATGCAGTTTATCCAGACTCTCTGTACTGAAAGTTCAACCACTCATGTCAATCCCTCGCCCAGAGGTCTCTTTTCTTTCTTATTTTTCTCCTTCCTTCCCTCCCTCACGTGACACAGAAAAAATCATGTACCTATTTTCTTATAAAGAGACACTCTCTAGCCTTTCTCTCATTTGGGTTAAAGACTTCGTTCAAAGAGCTAAAAGCATTCTCTACATACGAAAGCACCAAGTACATTTGCTTATGAAAGAAGAGCAGCTTATTCTGTAACAGATTTTCAACCTCCCTTCGGGAAGTAAGAGCAATTTTCCCTTGCCTTGAGCCAGTTCCAGTCATGAGATGACTTTTCCCTTACTCATTTCATTCACAATCTCTCTCTGCTCACCGCTCTCCCTGTGGGTCAACTCTATAAGTAGTGGTTTGTGGCTAAGGAGGCTAGTCTCACTCATTCCAACATAACAAAAGAGGGGATTTCAGCTTTTCTAGTAAGTACCCAATGTGTGAAGAGCACTCTGAAGATGTTGGCCCCCTATTTTTGCATTGTAGAATTACTAGTCAGCTGTGGAGCATGTTTCTCACAATCCTTGATATGTGTTTGAACCATGCCAAAATCCACTAAGGAGCTACTGCTGTAAGATAGTTTGTTATTGGCAAGTTGGAAGTGGGATTTTTCCCACATCGGAACTTTCTGTGCCTGTTATGTGAAACACCTTCGAGACCGACCTTACTCGTACCATGCCTGTTAGCCTCGGAACTGATCATTATGAAATAACACTTAACAGGCACGAGTTTGTCTCAACATGCACGAGACTGACTCAACAGGCACGAGATTGTCTCAACAGGCACGAAATCCTAGAGTTAATTATTTTTAACAGTAAAATCAAATTTATTTGAATTTTAAATTCAAAATTCGAATAAATAGTCGTGTCTGTTTGTGAAACAAGACATCCTTTCTGAAAGGGTCTGTTGGTTGCCTATAAATACACAAGAATTCCAACAAAGTAAAATAGAAAATCACAAGTGTTACTGCATGCTTTGTTGTATCCTGAAGAGAATCGTTTTGTATTTTTCCTAAATTAGTATACAGGCGATAACTCTTTAAGGACAGTCGATTTTCACGCCTCAAAGCCAATTTGATTATTTTATATCTAACAATCTTAAAGAGTTATCCTGCTATGGAGAAATTGATGTCTGTTGTTGANACAAAAATTCCTGATGCACTTCAAATAGGCGCTATTCTTTCGAAATTGTCTTCCTCTTGGAATGACTATAGAAAGAAAATCCTACATTCTATG